TACAGGACATTATCGTTCTTGGTGCTTCGATCTTTTGGACTGGGAAATAGATAAGCAAAAGAAAAAGATCCCTACCATCAAAAAGAAACTGGATGATGACACCACTCTCCTCACTTCCTCTATTTCCTATTTCGATTCCAAATGTTTATTATCCCTCAATGAACGAAATATGCAAAAGAAATTATGTAATGTTGATTTCAGACACAATAAGAAATTAACTAAGCTAGGAATTGACCTAAACAAGAAAGTGGACAAGAATAAGGTTATTTTCAACTTTTCTGGTCGGATATTATCAGATCAAAAAAAAGTCCTTTCTTTAGGTTTCGATTTTTGTATACCACCCAGTACCATTCGCCACAACCAATTCTTTCTTTGTTTTGAAAAACTATGTCACACCATCAAAAACTGTGAGATTTACAAATATAGATGGAATCATATCACCAACAGCATTTCTACTGTGGCACACAGTAGAACTCTAAGAGATGATAACAATATTGTTATCACAAAGCCAGATAAGGGACGTGGAGTTGTTATCCTAAACAGAGATGACTATTTTAGTAAAATAAACACGATACTTAGTGATTCCTCCAAATTTAAACCATTCAGACTCTTACGCTCGATAAGAACATCTATCGGCGAAATGACTTATAACCTCCTGACTATATCTGGCTCAAAACCTGGTCGCTTATATGGCCTTCCTAAAATTCATAAAATTGGTCAGCCTCTACGCCCCATCATTTCTGCCATTGGTACTTTCAATTACAATGTTGCAAAATTATTAGTTCAAATAATAACCCCTCTAACCACCAATGAATATACCATAGAAAACTCCTTCTCTTTCATCAAAGAAATTAGTGACCTTAAACCACTACTACCTGTCACAATGGCCAGTTTTGACATAGAGTCGTTATTCACTAATGTTCCCCTCAATGAAACCACTGACATAATTTTAAACAAAACTGCCTCCTCACTCTTAAACTCGTATGGCCTGAACAAGACGAAATACAGGAAATTATTGGATATAGCCGCTACTTACACACAGGTAGACGGTGTAGCAATAGGATCACCACTTGGCCCTTGTTATGCCAATACTTTCCTTTGA